TATTAAAGATTAAAACTTTTTACAAGGTAATTATCACTTAACTTTAACAAAAAAAATTTTTAAAGTTAAAGATTAACATTAAATTAAATAAAAATCGTAAAAATATAAAATAATATAATTATTAATTCTTATTTATTAAATTATATAAATAAAAGATTATTTAAATTAAATAATATTAAATTAAATTATTAATATATATATATATATATATATATAAAGAAAAGAAATAAATAGAAAAAGAAAAATATATAATTATATATATAAATAAAAATAAAAAGAAAAAAAGAGAAAAAAAAGCTTTATTATAAAAAATAAATATAAATTATAGTTTAAATTAATTAAAGATTTTTATTATAATAATATAATAAAATATAAAATATTAATAAATATATAGAAAGGAAAGAAGAGAAGAAAAGAAAAGAAAAGAAAAAAACAAAAAAAGGAACAAAAGAAAACGATTTAAAAACTTAAAGTAAAAATATATAAATAAAGATTTATAAATAAAACTTTCATATAATATAAAATTAAATTATTAATAAATATTTAATAAGTAAAAAGAAAGAAAAGAGAAGAAAAAATAAAAAATAAAAGGTAAAAAATAAAAAATAATATTTAAATATTATTTAAAAACTTATAAATTATTTTCCATTTTTTCTCCTTTTTAAATATAAAAGATTATAATATTTTAATATTAATATATTTATATATAAAAAAGAAGGGAAAGGAAGAAAAGAGAAAAAAAGAAAAAAAGAAACGAAATAATAAATTAAACCTTTTCTAAATAATATAATTATAATTTTTTCAATTTTAAAAAAATAAATATATTATAAATAAATCTTGAATAAAATGAGAAACATTAACCATGTAATATACCTTTCCTTTATCTCTCATGTAATATGCTCACCGCTTTTAAGGTGGCCTTATCATTAAAAACAACTTTTTACTTTATATTTAAATAACTTTACGAATATTAATCATATAAAGATATAATTTAAATAAAAAGATAAATATCTCAAATACGCACATTTTAGTTTAAGTTACACTTTAATATGATATTTATAACTTAAGTTATTCGAGGTTAAAGTTAAAAAGTCTTTTTAAATTATCACGTGACATTATTTATAACACTTAAATACTTTATAAAAGATTTTTCTTTTAAAACTTATAAACTTTATAAAATTATACGTTATAATAATTTAGTATTTTATTAAAAGCTTTGTTAAAAATTTCGTTAATAAGGTTATTATCTTTTTAAAAAAAATTTCGTTTTAACTTTTAATAACTTAAGTTATAAATATCATATTAAAGTATAACTTAAATTAAAATGTATATATTTAAGATATTTATCTTCTTATTTAAGTTATATTTTTATACGATTAATATTCGTAAAATTATTTAAGTATAAAGTTAAAGCTTCGCTTTTTAAATTTTACCCATTATATGGGAAATAAGCGAATATTATATTACATAAGTAATGTTTCTTTAAAATATAAAATATAATATTAATTAATATAAATATATATATATGTATATATATATATATATATATATATATATATTAAAGGAAGGGACGAAAAGGGAAGAGAAGAAAAGAAAAAAAAAGAGAAAAAAAGAAAAAAGAAGAAAAAAAAAGAGAAAAAAAGGAAAAATATTTAAAAACTTAAAATAAAACTTCATAAATAAAAGTTTATAAAGAAGATTTTTATATAATATAAAAGTTAATTATTTATATATTTAATAAAAAAGGAAAGAAAAAAAAAGGAAAGAAAAAAAAGGAAAGAAAATAAAAGGAAAAAAAATAAAAAAGAAAAAAAGTAAAAGATATTTAAAATATTATTAATAATATTTTTAAATTCAAAATAAAATATATTATTAATAAATATAAAATGAATTGTAATTAATGTTTATTATAAAAATATATTAAGGTAAAAGAATAAAATATAAAATAAGATTTTAAATTATTTAAATTTTAAAAATTAATAAGTTATTCCATTTATTTATTTTAATTTTTAAAAATAAAGGATTATAATATTTAAATATTCATATATTTATATATAAAAAGGAAAGGAAAAGAAAAAAAGAGAAAAGAAAAAAAGAAATAAAATGATAAATAAATATTAAATAAAATTTAAAATATAATATGAATTAATATATATAAAGGAAAAGGGGAAAAGAAACGAAAAGAGAAAAGAAGAAAAGAGAAAGGAAAATAAGAAAAGAAAAAAATTTCTTTTTAATTTTTTAATTTTATTTTTCTTATAAATTAACATAATATTAAATATTAATAAATATTAAACTTATATTATATATAAACCTTTAAAAGTTTATATTTAAATCGTAATATTTTTTAAGATTTTATTTAATTAAACTTTAAATTTTTACTTATATAAATTTCTTTTTTAAGGTAACTTTTCTTAAAGTTTCAAAATTAAGATATATTTTAAAAGCGTTTATTAAATTAAGTAAAATATTTAGAATTAAAGGAACTCAATATATAATTAAAATCTTAATTTAAATTTGTAAAATATATTTTTAATTATTTTTCTGACTTATTTTAAAATAGTTATAAATTTTTGAAATAATAATAAAAATTCGGGGATATTATGTTTACGCCGCGTGGGGACCTCATGTTTAATTATATTAAAAATGATTTAACGTAAATAATTATATTTTTAAATTTTAATTTTTTATTCATTAAATAATTAAAATAAAATTATTAAAAATTTATTTTAATAATTATAAAGTTTTATATTTACTTTATAATATATATTTTTAAAGATTTTAATTTTTTTATTAAAGATATTATATTTATTATTATTAAATTATTATTCGTTATAATATATGTTAATAAAATTTATAAATCTTTAAAATAATATGAAATATAAATCTTTTATATTTATTATTAAATAAATTATTATTATTAAAGTTAATATTATTTAAATTGTTAAAATTATTAAAGTTAAAAAGTCCGGGGGGGTTAAAAAAAGAAAGGTTTAAATTTATAAAATATTTTAAATAAATTAAAAAAGCCGGAAAGATTAAAAAGTTTAAGATTATTTATATTATTATCATCATTATTACCGTTAAAATTAAAAAGAATTTTAAAAGATTTATTATCGTATATAATATTTTTCTTAAATTTATCATTAATTTTATTAATTATTAATAACGTTTAAAATTTAAATTATATTAATATAAATAAGCTTAAGAAAAATATTCTACATTATTATATATTTAATTTTTAATGTTTTTAAAAATAAATAATATTTATTTAATAAAAGTTAAATATTTCTTATAAAATTTATTATATAATTTAAAGCCTTTTTATTAATATATTATCTTTAAAAAATTTAAATATTATTATTTATATTATTAATAATATATAATATATATATATTTCCTTTTTTAATTTTTTAAAAATTTACCATAAGATAAAGTTTAAATTATTAAATTATTTTCCTTATTTTTATAAATATTTCATTAATTTTAAAGATAATAATGTTATTAATTTTAAGATTATAATTATAATTTTTATTATTCAATAAATTTATATTATAATATCTTTATTTATTAAATTAAAATAAATCTTTAAAATTATTTTTTATATCAAGATTTTATAAAAACTTTTATAAATAAACGTTAATTTATTTAAAACATTTTAATTCTTAAATTTTCTATTATATAATAATTAAAATTTACCGTTAAATAATTTCATCTTTAATATTTTTTTATCGATGTAAAACATTAAAATATTAAGAAAATTATACGTAACTTTTTTAAATCTTATATTAAAATGTTAAACGTTTATATATATAAACGATATCTTTTAATTTTTTTAAGCTTTAATTTTAATCTTAATAAATTTATTAATTATATATTATTACTCAGTTTTTATTTCTTTATAATCGAATTAATTTTTTAATTTTTTAAAAATTATATAATTTTATTTCTTTTAAAAATCTTTAATCTTTTAATTTATTATTAAAAAATTTATATTATCTTTTTTAATTATTTTATGAGATTTTTTAATAAATCTCTTATATTTATTAATTATAATTATTATTGAACGATTTAAAAGAGAAAATTTAAAATTATAAAAGAAATTAAAATTAAATAATAATATATAATTAATAAATTTATTAAAATTAAAATTAAAATTTAAAGAAATTAAAAAATATTATTTATATATATAAACGTTTAATATTTTAATAAAAACTTAAAAAGGTTATATATAACCTTTTTAATGTTTTAATGTTTTATATTTTTAAATTTAAAAATATTTTATAAAATTGATTTTTATAATAATTTTAAAACTTTAAAAAAACTTAAAAATTAAATAAAATTATTAAATAAAATATTATATAATATTTTTTAATTTTAATTTTAAATAATTTAAGTTATAAATATTATGTTAAAATAAACTTTAAATTATATTTATATATAAATTTAAAAGAATAAAATTATTTAAATGTAAAAATAAAGTTTTATTTTTCGAATTTTATCGGTAAAATTTATATTATTTAATTAAAATTATTTAAAATAAATATAATAATTACGTAAATTATATTATTATAATTATAATAAAACGTTTTATTTAATAATATTATTTAAAAATCTTTTATTTTATTATAAAAGAAATAAAGATTAAATAATAATATATAATTAATAAATTTATTAAGATTAAAATTAAAGTTTAAAAATATTAAAAAATATAATTTATATATATAAATGTTTAACGTTTTAATGAAAATTTAAAAAAATTATATGAAATTTTTTTAATATTTTAACGTTTTATAATTTTATTATTATATTATTAATTTAAATTAAATATATTTATATAATAATAATTTAATTTAATATAATTATATTAAATATTTTATAAAAGTTTTATAAATTTTTTAAATTTTTAATTTTACGTATAAAGTTTTAATTTATTCCACTTTTAACCACTTTAACGACTTTAAGATATATACGGGTATAAAAAGTTAATTTTCATAGCAGCGGGGATAGCTCAGTTGGGAGAGCGTCAGACTGAAGTTCAACTTCATTCCTGAAAATCTGAAGGTCGTGCGTTCGATCCGCACTCACCGCAAGACTTGTACTTTTGCAACCTTTTTGCACTCGATTAGACTTTGAAAGAAGGTTCCTATATTCTACTAGAAATGTAATTACCATAACGGCGGGGATAGCTCAGCTGGGAGAGCGTCGTAAGTAATCTCGTTATATAATTTACCCACACGTTCGATCACTAATTCTCACTAGAGACTGAAGATAAACTTCATTCTTGAAATCTGAAGGTCGTGTGTTCGATCCACACTCACCGCATGTGTAACTTTTTTATTCGCGACTTTCCTAGCCTTTGGCAGATTTTATGAGCAATGCTTGTAACAGAGACACGGTACCATGCGCATCGAGCTTGACGGTGGTTATGATCAAACCTGTGAAAAGGTATATTGATTGATTCATCCACGCCAAGTTGATATAGCTGACGCCATTGTAGTCAGTCAGTAAATACCCTTCATAATTAGTGTGCTCTTAAAAGATTGCTAACGCAGCTATATCCACGCTTTGGCTGACAATGCTGGATGTCGTTATTTGTGGATTTTTAAACGAGCCATGAGGACAACCTGGCAAGAGCCCGTTAATAAACTCAATTAATAAATTCGCCTCGACCGAGAGTAAACGTACCACCAGCAAGTCCAGCCAGTGAGCCAGACGTAGCTATCTCCGCGCCATGATTCGCAAGAGCCAGAGAAAAGAACCACATGCCGATATGTATCCCAGGTATTGGTCTGCCTCGACGTTGCCCCCCCTTCTCGCTGACTTCGTCTAGAGTGTCTAGAGAGCAATGCCTGACGCTGTAAAGCATTATCCGTACCTCTAGAGCTCCAAGGTCTTCTAGGTACTTTGCCATATCCGGAAAATACCTCCCTTCGATTAGCTCTGGGGAGCCAAGATCCTCAGCGCTCATTGAGGTCTTGTGTCTGGCAAGCTGGAAGCCATGCGTGTTCAATCCGAAAACATTCATAGCCACGTATGTTGGTAATAGGGACGTCATTGTAGAGATCATGGACAATATTGGTAAGCACCGAAACTGATTCACGGTCCTTTGAGATAGTCAAGTGGTGGGGCTTTCGAATTCGTAAAGTGTTACGTCCCTCAGAACGACTGTCAAGGCGTATGCGAATTGACTGATCGTCCTTGGCTTAGAAGTCAACTTTCCTAGGAATACAAGAGAATTTTCTCGGGAGAAAGACAGAATCGATATCCCGAACACGATCACCGCCGGCATCCAGATCCTTTTCCATATATCTACAAGGCAGAGGGGTAAACGAATCCACGACCAAGGCCAAGGTATCTGGATTTAATATACAATTTTAGGCGAGCTAAGTTGGACGTGAGCATTCTGACGATTTCATGGAAAGCGTGGTAGATGGATAAGTTGAGAGGCTCGCGATGCTTCAGGGGCACCAACATAGGGGCATGTGTGAAGAGGGAATTGCTGGAGGTTCACCTGAAGCGAAGAGCATAGAGTTGTAGGACCTGGCCAATACGGGAAAGACCATCTCGAATAGGCTGGCTCTCCTAGTGGTTGTACCGAGCAAGTAAACATGATTTGATTCTTATGGAGTCTATGTCTATCTTAACCCTAACCACGAGAGTGTGATTGCTCCTTTGATAGCGCCGACGAACCAGAGACTCGGCTGCACAGCACCTGTGGCCTTGGAGATCCACCCACCGCATATGGCACCCAGCAGCGTAAGTACGAAAGCCAGAGCTCTGCGATTGCGCTTCACGTTCTTCCTAATCGGCTCCAGAATCCGCTCGTCGCTTACTAGATCACACAGTAGACTCGTGATCACCACCGTAGGCACCTCGCTGATACCCAATCCACGACTATTCACGATTTGGCCTGCAGCCTGGAAGCTAAGCAGCGCCACGGGTGCAAGTTCGACGAAATCCACATCTGCTGGGTCTCTCATTGAGGGATACGTGCCGTCAACGATGCCGGTCTGTATGATTGTGGCCGCGACAACAACACAGACGGTCTGCAGGAGGAAAGAGAGTAGGAGAGTTCTTCGCATGCGTCCTCCGCCGGTGAGTTTGTGCAGTCGTGAGAAGGCAAGACATCCCACGGTGAAACAACCTATCGAACATAAGGAGCGAGCCCATCCGAAAGGCTTGTTATTTTGACCAGATGTTCCAAGTGCAACGAATACCGTGTTTCCTAGCAAAGGGTTTAGAACCGCATCTATGAACTAGGGCACCTCTACAAGAGAGTGTCACTACCTACCAGTTTGCATTGAGACGAACGTTCCATAGGCTAGGAATTGTGCGTGTTAGCTATGGAACTGCTACACGGAATAGGGGCGTGCTCTCACCATTGTACAGAGTTCCATCAGTGAGGCCAGTTGCGAAACAGCAGGCAAGTAGAGGTATAGATCCTAAGCCGGGATTAATCTCCTGGGAGAGATGTCTCAGAAAGCCACGACTAGAGGCAACTGCTCGTGGGGGCTCTGGGTCGAATGTCGTGCCAAGTTCGAATTTCTCCTCGTCTGGCATGGTGGCGTACGTCGATTTGAGGATGCTGTATGGGTATCTGTTGATGGTGGGCGTTGTGCTTGATACCCGAGGATATAAGACCAATATCGACGTTGGTTGTTAAATCTAGAGGCCAGGTTTAAGTTCGTGGAACAGGGACGAAGCTTGGTAGTTGAGCAGGTCGGGCAGGTCTCAAATGACTGTGTGCCCGTCAGCCCACGTTCCGTGCGCGAATGGGAAAGGAGAAGCCTGTTTTTCTTGGAAGTTCTTGGCCAACCACTAATGCATATGCACAAAAGCTTCGGATATCTTTAAATCCCTCATTCTTGCATGCAACACCCTAAAGGGTTCCCCAATGTGGTCTGTGTTGTTGAGAATGGTTCTCTGATGTTGAGCAACCCCGGAGCTGTGGCGACATAACGGTGGGCCAAGGGAAGAAAATGGCGTGCACCGGACATCTGGGGGCCCCGGTGGACATGACAACAAACAGGGCATCTGCGTCCACTTACAGAGATTGTCAGTAAACATCACTGTGGGAATAGCACCGTAGGCACCTGGACGGATGGGTGCAATCTCGTTGCTCCTACGCGCCGTCAGACATGATATCTACCTGGGTACGCCAATGTCGCTAATGCAAGGGAAACCTTGTCTCGGACCAACGCCGAGACCCTGAGGATCACAATCCGACTACGGCGTTCGTCTCGGAGCCGCTGCTGAGGACTTATGCTTGGCGGCAGTATCTCGCTCCTTTACGCCAGCTGAGTCCGACGGCGTTTAGCTCCGGGGAGGGGGTAGATCAGATAAGCTAATTAGCTTTTGCCCAATAGGATTTATATCTTTGAAACACGTAGAGGGCGTATATGCTCCGCTGTCAGATGACAAGCGGTGGCGGCCAAGCAGGCCAACGTCGTCTATGATACTACCTAACTTGGACGATAGTAAACATGATTGGGTGGCCCAGAGTGGTTCGGCCAAAAGGGTAGACCAGGTGAGATCTCAGCCAGCCGTTATCAGCGCCGTCTTCATCGCCTTTGAGGCGCCCGGAGTGTAGTTGCGAAGCATCGACCTCCCGGGAGGCCCGGAGAGGCCCGGGGAGGCTTTGTGGCTTAACGTGTGTTCGAGACGATGCACGCAGAAGGCCCGATGAAGATTATGACAGATCGAGTTTGCTGAAGATTCCTTCGCTCAGACCCTGAAAATGGATGCATCTAACTTGGCGCCAAGGTGGCTGCTTGCTCCCAGAGTGCTTCAGCAACTAAGTTAGATATCTCAACCCACGTCAAAACACCACCAGAGCCAAGCAATTCCTGCATTGCCGCCCTGATTACACGATTGTAGTCCCCCTAGGCTTGTTAGTTGTGAGGCCTCCCATGATTCCAAGCCCAGAGGCTCCCTGTGTACCTGTATCGAGATGCTCAGCCCGCTAAGCGAGCCAAGTCTGCTGATAATGTTCCTCCTTAGGTCTGGAGACAACATGCAAGCAACCAAATACCGTACCACAGAATAAACCTGCGATATCGCGATGGGCACGAACGTCATGCCTGTGTATTAAGCCCGGTACTAGCCAATAAATTAACTTCAATGAGTACAGCCCTCACGCAGCTGTGGGTGAGAAACAGGAACATATGGAATATGAACAGTCAACACTGTCGTTCGATACTGAAGACGAAGCTGTCTCGATCCTCCGCCTCCGCATACATGCAAGTAATAGAGGCCATCTAATGAAGAATGGAGCTTGGCAGGTCTTGGATTGTAAGAACTGGTCGATAGGACCATGCAGCAGATAGATCATGTGAGGTTAAAATGATGACATCTCCTATGACCCGCAGATAGAGGAATGAAGGAGGGGCGGATCACATGCATTGAAGTCGTAGTCAAGAAATTGTGAGCCTCCTGTGCTTCTCACCACGGTCTGGGCTACCTATTTGGACACTAGGCTTGGTGGCTGAGGCTGCTTCTCCCGGCTCGGCCCGCTGCAACCAGCTATGCAGGAGTACTGGACTAATATGGCGTTATCCACTTAGAAATGACGGGGACCGAGAATGGTCCAGCTCCTGCCAACATTAGCGAGCTATGAGCGCTTCCAGGGTTTCCTTTCTCGGTTGCCTGACCGGTGAGTTTATATAGGCTTGACATGCTGGAGACGCTCGGAACAAGACGGGGGCCTGGAAAGCCACACAGCGTAGATCATTGATGGCCCCCGCGATCTTGCTGACAGATCACCAGGTAAAAGCTTAAGCCACATTTTCTATATTAAGTTACGTATGTTCCCAAACTGCCAGAAAGCCACACAGTACTGTATCTCGGACCTAATTGGTTAAACCGGCCTATGAGGTCTATCAAGAAATGTTACGTTAGACTCTCATTGGTCACGCCCCAGTATACAGTATACTGTGCAGTCTATCCGAGGCAGGTTTAGAGTATCGGAAGACCACCTATAACTATGACGCCCACACCCTTCACGACAAGATACATTGTATCAGTGGCAATATTATCAGGCCTAGATAAAATACCCGGGGATCTAGATCATGTTATGCAGTCATCTAATAG